CTTGGAGCCCTGGAACCGCAGAGAACCGTTCCAGGTCCACCTCCAAAGCAGCCTGTGTTGGAGCCCTTGGAAAGTTGTGCAGAATAATCATCAGCCTGCAAAGCATTAGCAGAGGGCCCTGTCTGCTCTGCCCGAGGTCAGTCTGCTGTTGCTCAGGCAAACGTGTTCCACAAATTGAGTTTGCCCCTGGAAAATTAATAAAACTCAACCTTCCCCACCAAAATCGTGCGTTTGCCTGAATTTTAAGCACGGGAAGGTCATTGCTCATTCCTGAGCTACTAGACTACATTACTCTCTGTTCGCATGAAGGTTAAGCCCTTGCGATACCAAGACTTCCGTCCAAATCCAGGGAAATCATCTTTCCAATAACGCTTGCTAGGATCTTTCATTCAAATCCAGACAATAGCAATCAGTTCTAGAAAGCCTAACTAACATGGCATAATACATAAATGCTGCAAGAGACGGAGCCCTCAAGAGGTAAGAGCCGCTTTGTGCTACAGCTACACACTTTGGGAGCGATCCCTCCCCTCCCATCCAGTTCTGAGCAGCATCAGTTTGCAAGCTGCGGGCAGGCTGCTATGTGTTTCTGTTGCTACAAAGACTGCCCTTTAACTCCTATGGCTACAGACAGCTTTTTTGGTTGCCTTTTAAAGTTTTTTTTTTTTTTATATATACAATTTCCTGCTAGTTTAAGAAAATATCTCCCTCCCCCTCTGTTTAGCACTTAAGTGTATTTCTGATACTGGAGCAGAAAATGATCTCTCCATGAGGGGTCACGTTCTTACTGCCGATATTGCACCGGTTATATGTTGCATTTCTTTAGGACCTTTTGCACCAGGCTGCCAAACCATTTTCTAAGTATTACCGGACTGCTGTTTACCATTCCCAAGCTGTGTTATCACCACTGTATAGATGGGGAGACTGAGGCACAGAGACTTTAACTGGCAGTTCCTGGTCTCCTCTAATTTGACTGGTCCAGAGCGTCAGCAATTCCACACAACTGCGGTGTGCAAGGAGGTGAGATGAGACCTAAGCCACAAGCAGCAGCTATCTTCCTGCCATATTGGGCATGGACATGGGACAACAGCACATGGGGCCATGTATGAACACATGCATGCATCCTTGCTCGACACAGCAGAGTAGGCGTGTGTGGGCCCATGTAGCATGGCAGCAGTGTCTGCATACACTTTGACATGCTATAACACAGTGCGTGCACGTGCGTTACAGGCAGCACAGCACATGCGTGTGCATGTATCATCAAACGATACACCTATTCATGCGCTGTGTGTGGGGAATGCAGGGGCTGGGCTAGGTAAGCAACCCTGCGGCTCTGTTCGTCACTGCCCCCTCCAACAGCCAGATGCTGCTTTGCAGTCTCATGGCTTCTGCTGACAGTTGTCGTTGCCGAACCGTTAGCTGATCACACTCAGCTAGCAGGCTGTTGCCATGGCATTGACAAATGAGTGTTACTGGATGGCAAGAAAATAATTTGGGAGTGGGGGGGAGAGGATCCTTCAGAGCTGCCCAGTGGGCTAAGTGTCAGCGAATCCACACAGTGAAATCTTGACCCTATGGGAACTTTGCCATTGAGTTTGATGGGGCCAAAATTCCACCCAAAGTATTCGGGACTTAACAGGAAGAAAATGGATAAGCAAAAGCTGGGGAGGCGGGTGGGATTGGGAACTCGACAGCCGTCACAAGCTCTGTGCCCTGCATCAGCCAGTACCTTCCATCACACTCCAGAGCCCCTCCGGCATTGCAGATTTTGTTTTATTAGCTGTGACAGATCTAAGGTTAATACCCCCACAACTGACAGGCACTAAGCTGCAGCCTTGCATAGGCTTTAGATATAAAAACAATCAGCCCGCCGCCGATGCCATTACTCCCCCAGACTATAGAGCGCAGAGAAATTCCTGCCATTCCACAGAGGGTAAGGGGAGCCAGACTGAGTGACCTCCCTTTGTTCAGCTCCAGCCTCACTTGGCCAGCAAAAACCTCCAAATTATTTGTGACTTCCATTGCTGAAGCACTTTGTAAAGGGGTTGGTATTGGAAGGGTCAATAGAATGCTGAGTAATGCCTTTGTTCAGAAAGATTATATACCATACATAGTGGAGACTGAGGCAGACATGGAAAGGGGGAGATTGTGCCTTTTGTTGCAATGTAGTTAGAAGGCTTATATGATGGGCACTATACAAAACCCCTTGCAGACGGATCTAGTGCACACAGATGGTTCACGGACGTGTTTTATACACACCCAGTATGTGAAGAAGGGCTTTTATACAGCCCAGCCTAATTATTGCAGGTGGGGAGCTACACACGCTCTACAGAGCTGTGGATATTCAATGTTTTTTGAATAAACAGGCCACATTAAAAAACCTGCACATTCATACAGCATTCTGCAGGTCTCAAAACTTTTTTTTAATATCGGTGGGGAAGTGTCAGAACCCTCTTTGCAAAGCTGAAGGAACCAAGGCACAGTGGCAAAGCAGACAACATTTACAGCCGCGGCCCAAGACTGCTTGGGCATGATTTTCAGATTTACTGAAGCACTTGCAACACCCAGTGAAGTCAATGGTAGCGACGGCTGCTTGGCCAAAGCGGGATTTTTGCACTAACATTGCTCTGTTCCCTAGCCCATGCTCTCTGTACTCCCTCTGTGTGCGCACCTGGCTCTGCATTCAGTTCCACACCTGTGATCGCTTGAGATTCAGCCTGCAACGTCGCTAGAATTAAGGACCAGATTTTCAGAAGAGCTCACATTACTCTCAAAGGGAACTGCTGAATGCAGAGCGCTTGCAAATCTTACCGAGGCCTATATCTCCCTAGATAGCATTCAAATAGCTGGGGCAAGGGCAACTGAACCAAGCCTTGCCCTTATGCAAAGGGCCAGCTTTTGTCTCATGACCTTTTCTCAGCATGCCCTTGTTCCAAGTTTGTCACCTGTAATGAAAAGCTGCTGCCATCTGCTGGTAAATGCACCAGAGGTTCTTGGAATAAATGCCCGACATACACTTCCTTCAACAGAACACAGGAACTGTGAAGCTTCCTGGCTTCTCAAAGCCCAGCTCCTCTATTTTCTCACGTACAACACATTAATTACCAAAAACCAGCGGCCAGAAATTGCAGGGCACATTATGCGAGTCCTGTGGTACAGGCAAACGTGAAAATAACGTCTCCACATAACTTGCAGGGAGCAGAAAGGCAGGCTCTGCTTCTCAGTTCTTACTGCAAAGACCCATCTTTTTGGCTCTGTTCTGCCTTTCAAAAAAACAAGCCTGCTCCATATTCCAGGGCGCATTGCATGCAAGGAAACATGGTCCTCTCCTGAGAGCACTGGGAGCAGGAAGGTTGTTGGAACAGCAAGCAAGGCTGCGAAGGAAGCTAGCTGTCAACTCGCTTCTCCCGCACGCCTTGCATAAAACAGTTTGGGCTGAGCTTTGTCACAGGCCCAGAGCTCCCGCACGTTTCAACAGCCACGGCCAACACTTTTGGGAAGCCGGAGCAACAGAAGGGGCAGCGGCCGGCGCGTGCGAAAGATGCCGCTCTGCAGAAGGGCCAAGACGGGAGCGACAGACACACGGGGCGCACCCCACGCACTAAGCGGTACAGCAAACCACCGCGAAGCGGCTGTACTTAGGCCGCGAGCTCTTCAGGGCAGGGGCCATCGTTTTGTCCCGTGTTTGCTCACAGGGGCTGATCCTTGCAGGCTCCTGCAAGACAGGGAAGAAGGTAGGCCTTTATCCAGTGGGAGCAAGCCTGTGGCTGCAGCCAATGCCTCCCACCTGCAAGGCTGCCAAAAACCAGAGCCCTCCACACTGCTCTAACTCAGCTCAAGACCCACCTGCCTCCAACCCCCTCCACCCTCGCAACACAGGAGCCCAGCAGGCCCGGCCCCACGGGCCTGAGACCAGCCCTGGGGTCTCCACTTATATACACGGACCAGCCCAACAGCCATGGGGGAAGGGGAGGTGTCCAAGGTACTATTTTAAACCTAGTCCCACAACACCAGCTGCATATATAGCAGGTCCTACACAAAACGGCTCCACTCTTCCTCCCTTCCTCCTCTAGCTAAACACCTGGGGATTTGCTCTCCAGGACGATTTCCTATCCTGCCACCTCCCCCCGTTCCTATGGTAGGTCCCAGCAACCCTATGTTTTGATCCACTCTGGGGCGTTCCATTCCGTAAGAAAGGGGGGGATGGGGGTCCAGGAAACTGGCTCCAAAAACAGCAGTAGCTGGATCAAATATGTTGCTATTACGCCAGGTTACTGAACGAGCTCTTTCTGAGGCTGGTGTTTGTTCTCTCCAGGGAGCTTTGAAATGAAGGCAAGACTGTGCGGGATGGTATCTGCCGGACACCCCTCTTGCCATTCGATTGGTTCGGTCCGGGCAGCAGCACGTTATGGGCCCAGCTGTGGAACAGACCATTTGCCAAAGACGTGGGGGGTAGGGCGCGTTAGGCAGCCTCGGGAAAGGGGGCTCCGAGGCGGCCACGGCGGCTCACATGCTCCATAGCGCTGCGCAGCGGGACGATCTGTGCGATGGGAGGCAGCCTGGCTTTGCCGGGGCTGCACGAAGCCGCTG